TAATATTTTTATTGGACGAAAGAGAGCCTGATTGCTAAAAGTTTTTAAATCCCTTTGTTCACACACACACACATATTCAACCCCCCTCTTCTATGTGTTTTTCTCATCTAACTTCAAATTAAACAATCCATTTCAAGAGATAACACCTACTTAAGGAGGATTTTTCAATAACTAGACTCATAGTGCACCACACAAATATCCACACAATGAGATATCCACTTTCAAAAACAAACTTTTCTTTAGTCCTAAGTTAATCAACATGTCTAAATGTCTATAACACTCTCAGCATCAACACCTCAACAACATTACCATGAGCCAATGGATATAGATATAACAAAATTAATCAACTTGCAACATACCTATGCATCTCAATAAATTTAACCATACAACCATTTGTATATATTATTTCAGGTCAATATACATAGAACAATTATCACCAATCAACATACAACAATTAATAGATTCACCTAACCTATTTAGCTCACCATTTAATCATGGGAACATCAAGTTGATTTAAGATAACACACACCTAACACCATTGAGACAAGAAGCTCTCTACTTCACCCACGCCCAACACTTGACGCCATACAACCCATGCCCGACATGGATTAGGTAGAGACCCTTGGACCCTCAAGCCTGGCATGGGAAAGTCCCATAGCCAACACCAAACCAAGTAGAGACGATGCCGTTTCCTCATGCTTGATGCCACTCTTTTAGTATCTAGCACCAATCTAAGTAGAGATGATTCTCTCTCATCATGCCCAATGCCATTTGACCCCAAGGAAATTCTCTCTCCTCATGCCTAACATCACTAATCTTGCACCCAACATGAGCAAGGTAGATGATGGAAAAGGCCTAGCCAAAGGACCCACGACTAGATCTATGGCTAGGAGGATGCATGAAGAGTTGGCTAGCTTAAAGGATGGTGGGCCCAAGCTTTTGTTACTTGGACCCTATCTTAAAGCCGACATATGGTTCATTCCCATGTACATAAAACATGTATCTTGATTTTATATTTGTAGCCTTGTATTTTAGGCTTCTTAGAATAGGGTTTTAGTGCCTATGTTATGTTGGCCCTAGTTTTGGGCTCCATGGGCTTTGGGCTTTATATGTCCAATATTGGTCTTATTTTGTTTTTATTTTTATTTTAGAAATAATTGTATAGGAATTTTAGACCTTGTATACATAGGTATCATAGTGTAGGAGTTTTTAAGGTTAGGAGGGTTAATTTGAAAGGAAATGCAATTTAGAGTTCATTTCCATCTAATTTGAGTCATACTTTCTATGCATGACTAAATTAGATGCAAATGAACCCTAAATCACATTACATTTCAGATTTGAATGTGAGTTAGGCATGAAGAGAGGGAGGTTTCTCGGCCAAGTGAGAATTGAAATTTCAAATTTGAATTTCAAATTCAATTCTAAGTACTAAACTTTTCCTCCACTTCTAGTCTTCCCTTCATTCTATTTAAACCCATTTCCCTCCATTTTGTGATCATCTTTTAGCATTATATGAGTTCTTATTTCAAAAAACTCTCTTCTCTCTCTCAAGAGTCACCAAGGAGAACACTCCTCCTTAAGAATTCTCCACAAGGAAACTTTCCTTGTGGATTCAGTAACATCAATTTGCTTCTTCTTCTCTAGATGAGCTTCACACCACTCTTCCTCCTCCTTCACCTTCAAGCTTCACTTTCATCCATTTCATTCGATCAAAGTGCAAGAAGGAACCTCAAGATAGGTTACTTGGATCCATGGAGCCATTGGAGAAGGAATCAAGCTTCTTCCTTCTCCTAACTTCCATCGGTAGAGACCCTTTAACTGAAACCATGTTCGACGCCATGAAGGCATGCCCGACACAACGATGTGTTTTACACCTAGTAGACCTTAAATTTGGCTCAAACCACCTGAAATACAAGAAATCCAAAGCATGCAAAGCAACATACGATACATATACATCATTTACACCTCATTTTGCACCATAAATTCAAAATGCAACAACAATTTTGATCAATCACCAAAACTATACTTTCATGAACTCAAAACATCGCTTATCAAAAAAAAAGATGAACTCAAAACATCAAAGTTCAACAAGACAAGAATTCCCACCTTAGAATCATCCATACAATCATGCGTTCAATGAATTTAAGGCATATACAAATTATCAATCTATCAAAAGATATGAGTTTTAACTTCCCTTACCTCATGAATTCAAGAGGGAAAAGGAAGAAGAACTTCAAGCTCTCACTGCGAAAAACTCCAAAGCAACACCAATCCTCAACTCCAACAACGTTGGATCGCCACTCGATTGATCAACAAGGATTGTCCATGCCTTCAGGAAGTCTAGAAAGAAGAAGAAAAAGAATCAACACTCCTGAGTCTATCTCTAGTATCTCTCTAAGATTATGAAGAACTGAACTTATGAAACTCTATTCTTAACATAAACATTATATATTTCCCCCTTTAGAGTCAAATTGGACCTCTGCTTATAGAAACCATCTAAAATACCTAAAGACTTCACACGAGTTCCTTAACTCTTAGAATTTCTCAACACCTCATCTCAAAACATCACAACATATAATTATTGATAAAAACACAATAATAACAAAACTTACAGTGTTACAACTAAAATAAAAATGACTAAAATTAAGAAAGGACAAAGAGAGAAGAGAGAAGAGAGAAAAGAAAAACTGTGAAAAAAAGAGTAAACATGAAAGGTTTAAATTCTTAATTTTTTTTTATAAAATTTAAAAATTTACAATTTAATAATCAAAATAGTTTTATAAATTGTTAAAACTTTAGTTTCTTTCTATATATCTTCTCTACGAACAATATTTTGCTACTAAACATTTTAAATTTACTAAAAATAATTACTCTACTATTAACTTATAAAAATTCAATTCAAATACCATGTATAAAAATAAACCTTTCAAGAGTTTAATTTAATCATCTATTTTATAATAATGATTTAAATTTTCTTTTTATCCCTCAAATATTATAGTTGTGCTATTTTGATCTCTAAAATTTTAATTAAACAATTTTAGTTCTCAAATATTGTAATTATGAGATTTTGGTTCCCCAAATTATAATTAAGCAATTTTAGTCTTTCAAGTATCATAATTGCATAATTTTAGTCTTTCAAGTATCGTAATTATACAATATTTGACTTATTTAAATTTAATATATTATAATTTTCATTCATATGTTAAATGATATATATTTTTTATTATTAAAATTAATAATATATGTAACTTAAATAGGTCAAAATAACTGTATAATTATGATATTTGAGTGATTAAAATCATATAATTACAATATTTGAAGAATAAAAATTACTCCATATTAATATAAGAGACTAAAATGGTACAACTGTAACATTTAAAAGATTAAAATTACTTAATTAAAATTTAAAAAACTAAAATACAACTGTAATTCTTAAAGAGACAAAAATATATTTAATCCTATGATAAAAAGATAAAACTCATTTACGTTATATGACCATTCTTTGTAGATTATATATTTGGGTCAATAGATATAGTGACAAAATTAGAATAGTATGTAATTTTTTTTTTCTTTTGGTTACCAACCCAATCACTTATGATATTGTCTTTCAAGTTTCAACAACTATCCCACAGACAAAGAATATCAATTAGAATAGTATTTATGAAGTCATACATTTTACTGTCAATGCAACTACATTACATAAAAAAGAAAAAATGATTCTTATTTTTTTCTTAATTTCACAATTTAATTCTCTATTCCTAATTATGCAATTTTAATCTTTAATGTTGATAATACAATAAAAAAATCACATGTTTTTTTTTTTAAATTGGAGAAATAAAATTTGCTTAATTAAAAACATGACAAATAAATTAAGAATTAAATGAAAACCAAATTATAATGCAGCATAAATTAAATTAACTCTTTAACATTACCAATCGAGAATCATTTTGATCCCCAATATTATTAAACAACAATCATTTTAATTATTAAAGTAACAAATATTAATTAAAATGTCTCACCTGAAAATTTTAATAATGAAAATATTTTATTTTCAAGAAATGATAACTATTATATTAGTCATTTTTTAACACTTAAAAAAGTAAACAATTAACTTCATAAAATCGATCGCCTACTTTAATAAAAACCACATTGATCATATCTTTAATTGATACTAAATTTTACACTTTCACCGGGACGTCTAGGGTATGTTATGTTTGATTTGCCATTTAGGCACACAAACAAACGTTCAATTCTCCTCGAATATTATACCTATTTGGTTGGTAGTCTTTTTATACGTTACGTTAAACTTTATTACCTTCAAAACGTACCTTGCATCCAAAGTAACATCCATGTTGCTTTTCCAAAAAGTTTCCATTAAACAAAAAATTTTAGTTGAACTTAACTTTTTTAACTTAAATCCAAACACACACCAAATATCTAGAACATAGGTAAAAGAAATCCAATAATAGATCTAAAGTAAACTTTAATACGATCTTAAAATTTTAACTTCGAACCTTAAACTTACAAAATGAACTTACTGAGGATTACTCAACCTTTTTAACTAAAGAATATATTCATCTTATTTATATTTAATTAACATCCCAAAGATTGACCCATTATATTTGTATCTGCTTATTAATTTATTATATCATTTATAGCCACAAAAGCAATTATTTCTGGCCTTTGCTATGACATTTTAGAAAGACACCACATGTAACACCAAAAAACCGTATCAAAAGTCAACACCAGCAAAACCCGTGAAGCATCACCTTTTAATAAAAGGCATAATATCTATCTTAAATTGTAATTTATTTTTCTATTAAGCCAAGCCAATCACAATAACCCTTTTAAGTTGATCTACAATCATCTTTCCCCAACAACGCTAAAGATTGAAAGACAGTGTACACATGCAATAACTTCATGAGTTCAAATTAACTTATTTTATAAGGTTACCTACTTGTTTTATATAGTCATAATAGTTTCTTGGTAAAAAAAGAGAGTAAATTCTAACAAGTAATCAATTAACAACTACATGCTTAGGCATGGATCAATACCAATAATACTATAAAATGTAAATGAACACACTACTCGATCAAACTAACATTCACGGTTAGAGAATTATTCAAACCAAAACCTCCTTCAGTTCTCTGTAATATGACCAACTGGACACTTGATGTGAAATCAATCTGTTTTTGAAGATAGAAGAACAAAAAATGTCTACTAGGTGTTCATATGAAATCATTTTGCCAAGCTTCTACCTTAGCCACCATCTTTGAATTGCAGATATTGGAGTTTTCAAGAATGGTGCGTGGCGTTGGACGAGTGGATTAACCATCCCCCCGATTTGTGCCCAAACACTTTGATGGTAAGCCGCAGTAACGGGAACATGATACATGAGCTTCAAAAGCTGCAGGGGGAAAGGAAAACAGGTGAATACATGCCAGAAAAAAAATATTTTGTTGAATTCATTTAGGTTTGCTGCAGATTGGGTTCAATGCAATACTTCCTACTAAAAACTGGAGAAAGAGGATTTCAAAAGTACTACAACCCCATTTCTTCAATTTTTCTCCCAATCCTTTTCTGTTGGAGTGTTGGGTTAAGAATTCTAAATGTACAAACAAGTTTTTGTCCCCTTTTATTTTCTCTATGATGTATACTTTTTAGTAAAGGAATTAAACAGATCACAGATATCTTATGCCCCAGACAAAAATAAACACACTAAATAAAGTTTAAACAGTCCAGCACAAGAAATAATGGAAGACTGGTGCTTGGTCTTATACAGTTATCTTATCCCCCTTCTTTGTGGTTGCATATGAATGCACGGGCACAAAGGCAAATTAATATCTCCAACTAACATTTTTCCAGAAAAACAAAGAAAATGAGTATATACTATATATTCAGGGAAAATGGTAACAAGTGCCCTTAAGGACATTGGTTAAGGAATCAAAAATAGAAAATCTTCATTGAAAAGTGTATTTGCACATTCTTTCGTGCAACTTTATTGTAATTTTCAATGAAAACTTTCTATATATTAATTCCTTAACAAATGTCCCAAGAGCACTGGTTAGCAAGACCCTAAACTTTCTATATATTCAGGGAAAATGGTAACAAGTGCCCTTAAGGACATTGGTTAAGGAATCAAAAATAGAAAATCTTCATTGAAAAGTGTATTTGCACATTCTTTCGTGCAGCCCCCCCCCCCCCCCCCAATTAAAGAAGCCTACAGCAGGAAGTGGAAGAGTGGTAACAATTACAGCCCCATGAATGGAGTTATTAATAATAGCTATTGTCTGGTGGTTAATTAATTAGGAAGATGGGGAAAGATAGCGAGGTACTTCATAATTCATATTAGGATTGGAAATTGCAGTAGTAGGACAGTCCAGATCTCTTGAACTGAATGACTGAGGGCTGAGAAGGATACTGTGTTTTTTCTGTATTCATTGTGCTAGAGTCTGAAGCTTGTCTTGAATGTATTTTTCAGTTTTCTGTATTTATCCTGAACCAGTTATATGAAAAGAAAATATACCTGCCAGTACATGAATGCTTGTATTATGTTGCGCTGCCACCTGCATGTGGTTAAAAGGGTGCAATGAGTCAAACAAGAAATTCCATAGAAAAGGGATATGTAGTATAGAAAAGCTTAAGAAACTGACGAGAACAATGAGATGATCAGCAGGAATCCAAGTCCAATCTCGGCATGTGATGTCAGTATATTGAGGGTAGTATTGTTTGACTCCACCCAAACACAAGGCTCTTCCAAGTACTTCCTATTAAAGTAAAATAGCAATAAAAAGATATCTTGGATGTCAATGCGCATTAAAAAAATAGAGTCCATAAATGAGAATTGTGTGACTTTATATGGAGTTGAGCTAGGGCAATTATCAAAAATAAACAATCATGCATACAGCTGTTAAGATAATTATTCAAGCTGTACTTTGTAAAAAGAAAATTACTTGCTTAGGCCTTCCAGAGATCAAATCTAACTCTAGAAAAAATGATACAGACAGTTCAACAGAAAAAACACAGAATACAATGAAATTATATAAGAAATTCCACACTTGGCTTTGCAATAATTAAGAGTAACATTATGGTTAATCATGCAACAGGCTAAGTTGTTATTCAGGAAACAGCATATTCAAGAATGAAAAAGATAAAGAAAGTAAAAGGGAAAAGCATAAAATAGAAGTCCAAAATGCACACTAGGGAAAGCAAAGTATTTAAGTTCAGGTGTCTGACAGTAATCTAATGAAATATTCAAATATATGAGATAGAGGAGAGTAGCGGTCCCATATTTAATGAGAACAGTGCTGTCTCCTTTAGCAACAATATTTTCTTTGTATGTTACTAGTACAAACTTTTCAAAGATTATTCACCTGTACAAGGTAGAGCGACTGAAATTACGTCTAAGGAACTTGGCAACATGTTCAAACGACCAACATAAGATAGGGATCAAAGCAACTGCAACAAAATAAAAACAGATTATAAAAGGCATGACATGGAAGTGACATAAAGGAATGCTAATATTAATTCTCTTCAGGAAGAAGCAAACAAGAGTATAATGGGATTAAATGACAAAGGAACACTCACATTTAAGGCAAAGATGAGATGTAACAAATGTGAGGCAGTAGATGAAGTATATAAAATCTTTTGAAGCAATTAGAGATTGAAAGTAAACTTGCAAGGCCTGCAAATTCCATGCTCTTGGCTTCTGCAATAGCACAAGATAAAGTAACAATGCATTAGAGATAAAAGAATCAGAGAACAGTGGATAGTGTTAACCGTAAAACCACAACAAAAACTTACCCCATATTGTGAGTACAATGAGTACAAAGAAGAGCAAGTAGTGCCCATAAAAGAAAGGCGATAAGCCCTATGAGATAGATGTGGCGGTACCAGTGGAATGGCTGCAAGGAAAGCCACAACAAATACCTACAGAAAATATTTAAATTAATGGATCAGCAACAAAAAGTGATTCAGATCCGCATGTAAACAGTCAGGCCATAGAAAGAGTTATGTATTGTACAACTAGGCAAGTTCACAATTTTAATGCATCTCTTCCTAATTCTAATATCCTTGTCTTTTCCCCACAAACACTCAAGAATGAAATTTGTGATAGTGATAAAAGCAATTCTGATCAGCAGTAGTAGTATATAATTCACAATTGTGTAATAAATCTTAGGAAGAAAGCAGAGACATAAAGAAATCAATCAATTAAATGTAGTATCACAACAGTCAAGGTCATACACAAATTGGGCATATCTTAACTAGAATATGTGGATTTATGCCTTCAATGGTGAAGAGAGCGTACCCAAGCATTGACTGAAAATAGAACTGTCTGCCGATCCCAACGCAAAGGTGTTGGATTAGGACCTGCAGTTGTGGATGTCCCTGATGTTCTATTAGTTGTTCCTGCAGAAAAATCCAAAACATAAAAAGACTCAGGCAGGCAAGCAACAAGGAACAAGCAAAGACAATTACCGAGACAAGTTTCCAGTGCTCCTTAATCTAATTCTTTACGAAATATACAACATTCACAGAAATGACTTATTCACCAGAACTTCTTGCACGAGTTTGATTATTTGTCGAGGGCGGTGATGACGATGTTGCTGATGAACGCGCCGGCTGTGACGAACTGCCACCAACAGATATTGGTTCCACCACAAGATCAGGATCCTGTTCAGTATTCAATAGTTACAACTTACAACCAATATATCAAATCAATAAAAATAACACATTCTCCTTATACAACTACATACTAGGAAACATCACGATATGAAATCTTGTACATATAACTATGGGTTTGTTTGAATAAATTTTTCCATAAGCATTTCTAAGAGAAGAAAATAAGACTTCATAAATTTAAAATTTAAAATTAATTTGTACGTAAGTTAAAAATTAGCTTTTCAGATAATGTAAGAAAACTTCTACAAATTAGCTTATGTATAAACTGATTTCATTTTTTCTATTTATTTTCCTCTGCCAAAAACGCTTACGCAAAAGTTTATCCAAACAAACCTAAACCTTATATATTATGCGTTATGCAATCCCCCTAAACAACTCACAAATTAAAACGAAACAATGAATATTCATTAATTTACTGAAGTTCACAACCAAACCAATAGTTGCTTACGATCAATTTACTAATTCAGTGAACTTAAGCAAATTCCCATGAAATACACACTCAAAATCACTATTACTAATGAAAATAACACAAACTGTCCTGATACAACTATAACTGTGTAGCATCAGAATATGAAATCTTATACATATACGACTATATATGCATTCCCCCAAATAAACACAAAACAAAGAATTCTTATGAATATTCATCAATTTCCCAAACTTAACAAACAATCCAATAGTTTCTTACAATCAATTTACTAATTCAGTGAACTCGAGCGAATTCCCATGAAGTACACACCCAACACAACTTCTCCTGATACAACTATAACTACGCAGCATCAAAAAATGAAACACAAATCAACGAATTCTCAAGAATACTCATTAAATTACTAGACTTCACAAACAATCCCATAGTTACTTACAAATTACAATCAATCTATCAATTCAGTGAACTTAAGCAAATTCAATTTTTTTCCCAAGAGCCCCAAAACCCCATTGCGAGAAAGGAGAGCGACCCAATTGGGCAAACGGCGAAAAAATCGGAACTTGATTGAAAATCGGGGCGCGTGAGTGAGAATAAAGAGATGGGTTACGGAGGAGAAGGAAAAAAAAGAACGCACGATGTAGCGCTGGTAGAACTTGTGCTTGTAGTGCGAAACGACGTCGTTGCGCGAGGACAAGTGTGGAGGGATGAGAACGTTGTTCCAGTAATCGGGCCATCGAGAGTCGTTGTCGTAGTCGTAGGAATTCGCCGCTATTCGCTTCAGCTTCTGCGGATCTTCTCTCTCTTCTCCCATTTCTACTTCGGCTACTACTGCTGCTGCTTCTTCAACGCACGCTCTTCACTCAGTTGAAACGAACTTGGATATATCATGTATGTGTCGTTTCCGCCTTTAGGAGATTAAACGCAGCCCACCAAGTGCCGTTTAAGAGGGGAAAGAAAAAAAAAAAGGACAGTGTAGGCACTAGTCTTTAAGTCGAGTTGGGTTGGTGTATGACTATAAATAACTACGAAAATGGTGGGTTAAATTACTTTTTATTTATGTATTTATTTAATTGATTTAATTCGTTCTCTTTATTATTAGAAAGTTTAATTGCTTGGATTTTTAAAAATGATATATGTATGAGATGAAAAATTAATTAAAACAACTAATTACTTATTTATTAAGTTATTAAAAATATTTTCACATCTAAATTAAGAGACAATATGATATACATAACTACTTCCTTGTACACATGAAACATGTATCCTTTCTTGGATGGGATAATTTTGTTTGAGATCATTAGAATTATTATGAATGATAGAACTTTTTTTTCAAGTATTTAGTGCAATTGAAATTATATATAATTAGAATTTGAATTTGAAATCACTTGTTAAACTAAAATAACTTTGTGTCAATTGATTCACATGTTCAATTATACAATCTTATTTATTTGTATATTATTTTTAAATGTAGACATTTTTTCTTGTGAGAACTCCTCTTAATTAAAATTAAGTTATATAAAAACTATTGCTTTAGTAAATGTATGGTGTAAAAAAAAATTAGTATATGTAATATATATGATATATGTTTATTTTATATAACTAAAATTTATATTCTTTTTGATTTTTTTTTATAAGATCTTATTACATAATTCATTAAGATTAAGAAAGTCAATTAATTTAATGGATAACAACAAATTTTTCATTTATAATTTTTTAAAATTAATTTTAACACTAATGAGACTCTTAGTTTACTAATTACTTAGTGAATTGAGATAATTTATTTTAATTAAGGATATTTCATGCAAAAAAAAAATAATGTAAAAAAAATTTACACTACGAGAAATATTTAATGTAATGATATGAAAAAAGTGTCACTATAAAAACAACATATGTAGATATAAATTATGGATAAAAGATAAATATTAGAAAGTGATTAAATAGTGTGTAACCAAAACTCGCACTTTTTCATGGTGAAATATTAATGCTAGTATGATCAAGTGTGAAGAGAAGTCAAACAGAATATCGGATATTTTTATACTAATTAATCTCAATCATCAAGATTACGTTTAGTTCTCAATCCAACTAGATTGAGATTCACTATCTATCAACAAATATATAAGTATTCTTTCAACAAGTCACTTCTAGCTTAACCCTAAGTATTTTTTAACTTGCCTCTTTAAACAACTATCCAAGTATTATTTTGACAACAAGCCTCTCTAGACTTAACAACCAAGTATTTTTTACAAACAAGTCTTTCCAATCTCAATCAAGTATTATTTTACATACAAACCTCTCCAATCTCAACCTTATTATAATAGTTATGAAGGTTACATAAATGTTGTTTTCATCTCAATTAGACATTATACAACCAATATAGAGCACTAAACTTTTTACAAGAAAGAATGAAGTTTATACACAAGTATGATTTACAAAGTGTGTTTCTTCATGTGTGTTTCTATAAAAGTCTCTTCTCGTGTTGTCTCTCTTTTCTCGAGCTTTGAATCTTCTTATATAGTAGTTTGGAGAAGATGACCAACGCAACATTTCGAGTCCAGCTCACAAGTTTATTTCGCTTGTCTTCAACATCTTTCCTTGTAATAGGAGGTAACTGTTGACTCATTTAATACAAGCATTAAATGCATTTTACTTAAGGATACCTCTTATTTGATCAAGAAAACTACTTATCATCTTTCTATACCAAAGTTTATTTCGCCTGTCTTCAACATCTTAATAGGAGGGCATACTACTAAGGTTTGGTCAAGATAACTGAGTCGCCTAAGATACATTCCATGCACATAGTGCGCGAGACTGAGACTTCCAAACCAAGTTATCTCTAAGGACTGATCCCCAAGCTTTTACACAAGGGATCTTCCCTAGCGATGTATTCCATATCATACCTTTAATAACACTTTTATGCATATAATTCGTGTCAAACAGACTCTATACATAACATTTCATATGATCTCATTAATTCACATATCACATGTCTTATCATTTCACATTATCACATAATTTCACTATCAATTGATCTCACATCATATAATCATCAACTATTCTCAATATAACAATTAACAATTCAACTATATCAATTAAATATTAATAATCAATGGCATAAGGGATCACATCATTACAACTTATACATAGCTTACAATCATACCAATAACATGCTTTTGTACCACAACTAATTATCAAAATTAATTAGTACAATGATTACACATGTTTGTAGTTTAAACGCAACAATTGCACAACATCATTTGATACACCTCAAGATATAATCATTATGAGATCGTCTAATCATATGTAAACACCTCAATCATAGTTACTAAAAGATCAATGTTACTAAGTATTTAAATCAATAGCTTAACTAGCCTATTAGCCTTATCAATATCACACGTTAAATCCTTATACATCACTATTATCAAAACACTTCAAGTTGTTGACAATAAACTTATGCCATAACTTATTAACAATTAATTTCCACCATGAATTATCTTTCCTTGACATTGATATAGGTACCTTAAACAATTCTTATGATAAAATACTTAAAGGTATTGTTATTCATCATCACCATTCACATATTAAATTTTCATAACTTAATCTTCTAAGTCATCAAGTGATCCAAGCACCTTATTTGGAGCTATATATATGATATCAAGTTGATCTTAATTTTCTTAGAAAGCTAAGACAATTATCTCCAACTTGTATGTTGACCTCAAGAGCCAATTATGTCATCTATTATTTTTAAAAAAATATAAAATTATAATGTTTTAGCCTTAATTTGATAGTATGACCTTCACTCACTAATTTGATCATAACTTGAGTTATTGAGGGATACCTTTATAGGATGGGAAAACTTTGCATACCTCAAGGGTCCATTAGGAAGCTTTTGGTCAAGGAAAGTCATGAAGGGGGACTCATGGGCCACTTTGCGGTTGATTAAACCCTAAGTCTCTTAAAGTGGAGAAAGTCTTAAAGAAGGAAGGCTTATCTTCCTTGGGCACCACCAAGGAAGTAGCACAAGAAGTGGGACTAAGTGAAGTCCACTTCTTCTTCACTAAACCTTGAAGTTGAGATTCTTTTTCTTTAAAAAGGACTTAGCACTTTCATGCATCTAATGAATCATGTTCTTATGGATTGCATAGGAAACTTTGTAGTAGTTTACTTTGATGACATTCTTGTATATAGTAAGACCTTAGATGAGCATCTTGGACATCTAAGGGAAGTCTTAATAATTCTTAGGGACAACAACCTTTATGCCAACTTTGAGATGTACCTTTTGCCAAAATCAAGTCAATTTCTTAGGCTTCATAATTGGTAAAGAGGGAGTGCATGTTGACCCCAAGAAAATAAAGGCCATCCAAGATTGGCCCACCCCAAAGAGTGTTGGAGAAGTTATTAGAAGCTTTCATGGTTTAGCAAGCTTCTATAGAAGATTTGTGAAGGACTTCTCCACACTTGCATCCCCTTTTAAAGAGCTTGTTAAGAAGGATTTACCTTTCATTTGGAGTCAAGCCCAAGAGAAAGCCTTCTAAACTCTCAAAGAACAACTCACCAATGCACCCATTCTAGCCCTTCCAATTTTTGCTCAAACCTTTGAGCTAGAATGTGATGCATTCGATTTTGGCATAGGTGTCGTGCTACTTCAAGGAGGTCACCCCATTGTCTATTTTAGTGAAAAACTCCATGGGGCCACCTTAAATTATCCCACCTATGACAAAGAGTTGTATACCCTTACTAGAGCCCTCCAAGTTTGGGAGAACTACTTGGTGACTAAGGAATTCATTAATCTACCGATCATAAGTCACTCAAGTACATTAGAGGGTAAGGGAAATTAAATAAAAGGCATGCTAAGTGGGTTGAATATCTTGAACAATTCCCTTATATTATCAAGTACAAAAAAATGAAGAATAATGTAGTGGTCGATGCTCTCTCTAGGAGGCATACATTACTCTTCTCCTTAGGGTCTCAAATCCTTGGATTTGATAATCTAAAGGAATTGTATGAATGTGATCAAGATTTTCAATCCATCTTTGCTAAATGCCTCCAAAAGTCTTTTGATGGATATTACTTACTTGAGGGATACCATTTTAGGATGGGAAAACTTTGCATACCTCAAGGGTCCATTAGGAAGCTTTTGGTCAAGGAAAGTCATGAAAGGGGACTCATGGGCCACTTTGGGGTTGATAAAACCCTAAGTATCTTAAAATAAAAATTTTATTGGCCACACATGAGAATAGACTTCCAAAGGCATTGTTCTAAATGCATTACTTGTCTCCAAGCCAAATTTGGAGTAATTCCTCATGGACTCTATACACCCCTTCCTATAGCTAGCTCCCCTTGAGTTGACATTAGTATGGATTTTGTGCTTGGTCTCCCAAGAACCCAAAGAGGATTTGATTCTATCTTTGTGGTAGTGGACCGATTTAGTAAGATGGCTCATTTTATACCATGCCACAAAGTAGATGATGCTACCTATATTGCTAAGATTTTCTTCAAGGAAGTGTTTCATTTGCATGGTCTACCCAAGACTATTGTGTCCGATAGGGATGCAAAGTTTCTAAGTCACCAAATTCCATATTTTTCCAAAGATTATATCCTGATCTCACCAAGAGATCTAATCCATACCATAACCTTACTCCTCTAAGTTCTATTAGCTTTCCAAACCACACACATATAGCATATTCCATAATTACATACAAACTCTTCCATAACCATGTCAAATCATTCAATATAATAACAAATAATTAAACACCTAAAACAACCATCAACTTAAACAAATGACAATCTTCATATAAACAAAATAGCATATTAAAAGTTATACTACCCCTATCATGCTCATACATACTAGATTAAGTCTTATAAGTACTACCCTTACTTGGAAAAGCAGAA